TGTACTACTGACATATGCTCCTTCCCCCCAAAACAACAATGAAGTGTTCTGTGTGCTAACAACATAGCTTAAAAAAAAAAGTAAAACAAAATTCTGCATTTTTATAAAACTTGATAAAAAAATAGTATTTCAGACTGTACAGTCACCAGAAGCACACAGTTATCAACAATGCACACACTTCACTTGGCGTCTCCAGCACCTTCAGCTCTTTGTGCCTGGTCTGTTTGGCATCTCCATTTTCTGCAGGGTTATTCCCATCCTTGCTGGCATCAGCTTTTCCCTTTTTCCCTTTGGGTACCTTCTCTCCCTTCTTTGCTGGCGCCTTTTTAGGCTTGGGCTCTGGCTTTGGAGGAGCTGGTTTAGCAGCCAGCCTTGCAGATCTTCTCTGTGGTTCATCCTTCACCTTGGCTTTATCACCTTTAGCATCCCCTTCGGCCTTTCTCTTGGGCATGGTGGCGACGGCGGCAGGTCACAGGCGCTAGACGCGAGATGCAGCGGCGCGCAGCTTTGGGTGGCCCGGGGGTCGTCCTCGCTTCTTCTTCACCTCTCCTTCCATTTCCTTTCCTCTATCTCGCTCCGGTCTCTTCCGTCTTCTCTCTGCTGGCCTTCCTGGCCTCCCGGTTTCTCCCCCCCCCAGCCTCTCCCCTCTCCTGCTCCTCCCCGCTGCACCGTTGCCTGGCCCCCGAACCTGTGCCACTGCCGGCAGGCAGCACCGTGTGTGTGAAGGGCTCCGAAAGGCTCCGTCACATCTGGGCGCCCTGCCGCGGCGCTGTCACAGCCGATGATGCTCCCCAGCCAGCCGTCCACGCTTGGTGACCACAGTGGCGGTGCGTGTGCACACAGAGACTGCTGGGGAGCTGGAGTCCTCTGCGGGGGCCGCTGTCACAGGGTCGGGCTCCCCGTGCCCCTGTGGAGGCCGCTAGCTCAGCAGAGCATCCTGCTGTGTCGCAGCACCTCGGTCACTGGTGTTTTGGGTTAGGGAACAAATCGCCTGAGTCTCCATCACTTCTTACGGGGAAGTGTGCTTTGCTTTGATCACCGAGTGCTTGGCATTATAAGCGTGTTTCCCAAATGAACTGGGCTCCCAAAGCAAGATTTTACTGTCATTACTTTTCTTATGCCTACTTAAAGAAACTCTTAAAAAGCGAGCGCTACCCTTCCCTCAGGCCGAAGTGCCAGTGTGTGCGCGCCTTTCCAGCAGGTATATTAAGGCTCTGGCGGTGAAGCACGTTGGTGCGTCTGTTGAAACACCCCAGACCCCCATTTGCTTCCGGCTCCATGGGGTTGGCGCCTTTGGCACCTGGAGTGCTGCTGCAGGGCACACACAGAGCGAGAAGCCCACTTGGGATAGTCTGGGCAGGGGACACATGGGTGGTCCCGCTGAACGGGAGGCTGTGGCCAGTGCCCAGCTGGCCCTGCCCAGCCCTGCTCTCGCCAGCCTGCTTCTCTTGCTCGCTCTGCACCAGTGGGTACAGACTCAGCCTCCCTCCAGGGGTCTCCACAGCTCTCAAGGGAGGCTATCTGTCCAGGTACCACGAGGACCAGGCTGAGGCCTATCTGGCCACAGACCCTGACTAGTGCCACCATGGGCCCCACACCTTCGTGGCTGGCTCTGCTGCCTACTGGCTGCTGGCGCTGTCTGTGGCCTCACGCGGGCCAGAGACCTGCTTCCCGGGATTGGGAGGGTCACGGCCCTGTGCCTGCAAGGCCTGGTCAGCACCGGGCACCCCTACACCTCGCCCTCCCCCGTGGGGCAGGGAAATGTCCCTTGAGCCCTTGGGCAAGATGACAGCAGGGGGAGACCAGCCAGCCAGCAACGGAGGGCCACATGCCTCCCACCTATGCCATGCCCGTGTGCGTGCGTGCGTGTGTGGCAGGAAGAGAGGACCTCTGCACTGTCCCTCAGGTGCAGCCACGATAGCCGCCCACCCAGGCACATGCTTTATCATATAACCAAGCAGAATTTTCCACCAAACACAACTAAAAGAACCCCGGGCCATGCAGAGTACAGAGGTGAGGGACACGGGCGGCAAGGCCACCCACCCTGGCTTCCGTTTATCTTTTCTTGCTTTTCGAGTTGTCTAGACCATGGGTCAGGCATGCAGGGCGAATGTTCCTGGTGGTTCCACTTGCTATGCTGAAGCGAGCTCCTTCAGAGCAAGCTCGTACCCTCCGTGTCCTCTGGGGGTGGGGAGCAACGAATCGTCAGACTCCTCAGGGGCTTTAGCAGGGCCTGGTGGTCAGGTATCCAGGTGGTACCTGACCCCATCCTGCTGGTGGTGAGCCCGGGGTGTCCCTCCTGCCTCCCTGTCTGGCGGTCAGCAGGCGGCTTCCTCCAGGGGCTTCCCAGCCCTGAGCCTTCCCAGGAGCAAGTCAGAGTCTCTGGGCAAGCCCCTCCCAGGTGCACATCCTCAGGAATGTGCATGGGAAACACACCCCTGTGCAGCTCCAGGCCTCATGTGGTCAGCCTCCAGCTCTGTTTCTCTGCAAGCCAGTACTGGAGGCAGAGGGGACTGGCCCATCCCGCCTCAGTTTCCCCACCTGTGCAGCAGAAGCTTGCTCACTGCCCAGCTGCTGCTGTGTTGGATGCCTGCGGGTGTTTCTGGGGACGCCGAGGGCCCCAGTCAAGGCCTACCTTGGGGGAGGGAGTGGGGGCGCTCTGAGGTCCACTTCCTGCTGCCACCCTCTGTGAAGCTCACAGGTCCCCCAGGAAGTGTGCCCCTGAGTGGGGCTCCCACACTCCTGCAGCCCCAGTCACTGCATTCAATAAGCAGAGACAGGCGATGTCCACACTTGGGCGCTCCAGGATGGAGTCACAGCTGGGGTCCAGGCCTCATGGGGTCAGGGTCTCCACCTCTGCAGGCAGCATTAGTAAGAGGAGCCAGGCTCAGAGGTGGGGCATCTCAGAATGGGCACAGGGCTGAAGCCAGGCTCATGCCACCTAGGGGTCAGAGGGCTGGCATTAGGTGCACCCTGCAGGTGCACGCAGGGTCTTCTGTTCCAACCCCAAGTGCTCCTGACTTGTCTCGGGTGGAACAACCTTGGTTCAGGGGGGCCGGGTCCCCTAACTCCTCCTCGGCTGCCTCATGAGTACCTGGCTCCCGGGTCCCATATTAGTGCCACCCTCCGAGGAGCAGGGGTCCCCCAACACAGAGTCACCTCTGAGCCCTGCACTGCCCTGGCCACTTGCAGCTGCAGGGTGTTCCCCTCTGCTCTCCATCCAAGCCATCCTGGGGGCCACTGATGCCCTCCATCCCTGAGCTTGTCCCTTAGCTCGGCTTGTTGGCACAAGGTATGGAAAAGCCAGGGGTGCTCTGGGTTGAATTCACAGGAGATGTTAGGAATGAAAGTTAAAAAAAAAAAGAAAGGAGAGAGAGAGAGAGAGAGAGAGAGAGAGAGAGAGAGAGAGAGAGAGAGAGAAAGGGCAGGCTGACCCATGGCATAGAAAACTGCATCACTTTATCAAATATCAATCTCCAGCATCTGAGTACAGCTGTCCCTCGATCTGCTCAGTAGGGGCCCCAGGACCATTGCGGGCTCAGCTGGCTCCAGTTCCAGCAAACCCAGGTCTCCATGTGGACCAGGAAAGTCACCACAGTCCCTGTAGAGCTGTGGGCTGGGGACAGAGCTGATCCTCGTGTCCCGCCGAGGAGTCCCCAGCCTGGCCTCGGGCAGCCACGGCACCATATTCGTCTGCAGACCCAGGGTCCTGGGTGAGGCCTTGGTCGCTGGCTGCTGCCGTCCTCAGACGTGGGAATACTTGTTGGCAGTCACAGAAAGACAGCAGGCGGTCCTGAGCACAGTCCCCAGCTCCAGGAACAGCCCTGTCCAACCCACCTGGCCCCTGCAGGCACACAGCAGGCAGCTCGGGAGTTTCCAAAAGGCGGGCGTCCAGGCTGTCTGCAGGTGGCCCCTGGGCCTGGGTAGCCCTTGAGGCCAGTGATGTCCCTCAGAAGTGGTGCTGGATCGGAGGACCTTGCCGTGTCCCTGGGCGCAGCCCAGTGTCCTGTCCATCCAGCCGCAGGGAAGGTGCCAGGGCAGCGCCTCAGCGCCCCTCGCTCTCTGGGAACTCCTCCTTGATGGGCTGCTTGCGGGACTTGCAGTCTGGCAGGTCAAAGCCAAAGTCGGCCCACTCATCAGTACCGGCCACCCCGCCTGGGCCACCGCGGTTGGGGATGGTGATGGTGTGGCGCACGCGGAAGTGCACGGCCTCCATGACCCGCTGCCGCTGCAGCTCGCCTGAGCCGCCTATGGAGATGGTGGCGGCGTTGCTGCTGGAGCGCAGCAGCTGCTGGCCGCACTCGTGGCCCTGCTTCAGGTCCTGCAGGCCCCTCCAGATCGTCATGCGGTACTGGTCGGGGATCTTCAGGGCCCCGAGGTCCTGCAAGCAGGGCTGCTGTGAGGGGGCTGCCGGGACCGCCAAGGACTGTGCTGCGCGGGTGGCAAGCGGGTGCCCAGGCATGGCCAACGAGATGCACTTACGAGGTGCTGACCCCGGCTCTCTCCGACATGTCTGTGTCTCTGGCCTCGTGCCTTGGCGAGGACAAACGAGCTGGCCCTTAACCCCACTGAGCCTGTGATAGAGAGCTGAGGCCCCACTGGACCATGAGGCTAACCACTGTGCCCTTCGGGCTTCTCCAAGCTGCCTGGGCCTGGACCTGGGCCTGCTGTAGTCTTACTTAATTCAAACCCGTTTCCTCATGGGTGTAGGCCCTTCCACCCACACACGCTGAGCCTAGGACATCGGGCAGCCATGTGTGTGGGGTGCACGGGTTGTGTACAGTGCGTGGGGTATGTAGGTTACATGGGGTATGTGGGATGTGTAGGGTGTGGGGTGCATGGGATGCGTGGGGTGGGCGAGTGGCTCAGGGTCAGCCATTTGCCTTTTGTGTACATGGCCCTGAACTCACCTGTCTCCCTCGGGCCCTAACTTCTCCCATTCTTTATGCCTTGGAAACAGTCTAACCCTTAACATTAAAAGCAGCCAGGCCTCTGGGCACCAAGAGACACTGACAAAAGAGGAACCCTGGAGCTCAACTCTGGCAGGCCGGGTGTACCTGCCCCTCACCGGAGAGCTCACAGCTGCCGCATACGCTGCAGCCAGAAAGGGCTCTACAAAATGAGTGTTGCTCTGGCCCCAGCCCCAGGTCTTGAGCTGCCCTGGTCCCGGCCCCAGGTCTCGAGCTTACCTCTATGGTTAGGTTCTGCAAGTGGTAGATGTTCTGCAACCCTTGGGAGGTAAAATACTCGATGCAGTTGGGACAGCCCAAGCCTGTTAAAAAACTGCAGAGAGATTGAGAAAAAAGAAGTGGCGTTAACTTTGAGCTCCTGGGCTGCGGTTTGGCCCCCCTGGAGAGGGCCCTGGCAGCTGCTGGTCACCCCAGTGAGTGAGGTGGCCACAGTGATAGAGCTGCAGCCCCTCGGGAGGCCCATGTGCCCCACCCTGGGCGCCATGCCCAGGAGCGCTGGCTTGGTGCTTTTTGAGCATCTTGATGAACCCACCATGACACCTCCCAACATCCTGTGCTGGGGAAAGCCGCATGCTGAGAAGCCAGGATGGGGCTGAACAGCCGTCTACGCACCTGACAAGGCTGGGGTCGGCATGGTAGGGGGGTGGTGGGGTGCAGTGGGACCCCGGGACCATGGTCTGGGAGCTGTGGCCGCCGTTCAGCTCACCGTTGGGGGGCATGGCGTGGCTGTGGCCACTGAGCATCGCTGGGGCTGGCAAGAGGGTGGGTGGGCATTAGGAGTGGGCAATGCCCAGGCACTGGGCTCAGCAGGAGGCCAGAGGTGGGGTCAGCCTGGCAGCATGCCCATAGACCAAGGCTTGAGGCCCGTGCCTGTGCCCCACGAGGTCGGGACCAAGGTGACAGCAGGCGCTTCAGGAAACAGGCTGGGCTGTGCCCACCTAGGGACCTCCCAGGAGCAGCCTGACTGCACCCTGCTGAGCTCCCCATGAATACTGAACCCCCACAAGGCTTTAGGTCATTTAACCCTCAAAATGAGTGAGTCCTGTTTCTTCTTCCACCAATTTTCTGGCAGGGAAGCTGAGGCTCTGTGAGGTTAGGAACCTTCCCTGAGCTCCCACGCTGCTAGGAAGCAGGGTAGGGGTGAAGCACATGCTCTTAACCACACACCACTAGTGCCCCACAAAGGGAGGACCCTGGAGTGGGGTGGTCACAGCAGTCTGCAACTGTTGGGGAAGCGGCCACCGAGAGCCCCACAGGTTGGGGTGTGGCTGGCCCATCCACATACAGGTCACCCTGGGTCCCCAACCCTGGGGCCTCGCTGCCTGAGGGACTCACCCATGGGTCCTAGGCTGGGCCCAGTGGCTGAGGTGTGTGGGGGAGCCGGGCCCACCAGCTGGTTGACTGAGGGCAGCTTGTTGACGCTGCCGTGCGCTTTGCTCATGGGCGAGAGGACAGGCCCGTAGGACGGCGGCTGCAGGTGGCTCCTGCCCAGAGAGCACCAACTTGAGTTTGGGGACAGCTGGGCACCATCACCCCACCCAGGCCCTTCTGTGCAGATGATGGAGACCCAGCACTTGAGCAGAAGCCAGAGGGACTTCGTTCCGCCAGCCTCACGCTCAGACTATGGCTGCCATTGGCCTGCCTCTGACCCTGCTCTGTGGTGTCGCCAGCCCCTCCTGTTCTCCCACTTGGCAGCTGTAATGAGGCCTCTCACAGGGCGCAGGGCGAGGTAGTAAAGTGTCCAGGCTCCTAGGCACTGCTTTTGGGGAATGCTTCCTGGACACTGGGGGGGAGCCCTGGCTGTCTCAGCCGTCTGCCTCCCGCCCATCCGGGGTCACCTCCCTGCTGGGCCAGACTGTCCCCTTGCCCTCTCAGAGCTCCCTGTGGGGCTTGCGGGTGGGCGGGCAGGCAGCGGCGGGGGCTCACTCACGGCCGCTGTAGAAGCTGCTGCTGCTGCTGCTGCCGGTAGGAGTCCACGAGGGGCTGCGGCACGAGGTCCATGAGCTCCAGGCTCTCCTTGACCTTCATCAGGATTTCGAAGTTCTCCCGGCCCCTCACCTGCGCACAGAGACGCTGCCAGGGGATGCACCACACTGCCCGGCCGGGGCAGGACCCTGGTAGCCAGCGGGGAGTCTCTCCTTCTTGGGTTCCCCAGGTGCAGTCTGACCAGCGCCGCGACCCAGCGGGGGCCTCCGCGTGGGCAACGACACCCACGCTCCTGCTCCCTCTTCCTGCTGCCCGCCAGATCCGGTGTTTTCAGCCAGGGGGATTTATTTGAAGCTGCCCCTAACAAGCCGGACCCTGGGGAGGAACCCGGTCCTGCGGACACAGGCCGCAGCGGCGCCCCCTGCTGGATGGTAGGGCCAAGGGACTCCCTCCCGCGGCAGTCCGCCGGCAGCGCTCTCCCGGGACTCCATCTGCCCCGCGCTGCTTTGCCTTCTGCAGCGCTCCAGCCCGCCCGGCTGCCACAGTGCCACTCACGTGCATGTAGTACATGTCCTCGTCCCCATGCCGCCTTTTCTTCGAGTTGGCACCCAGGGCGGGGATGGTAGGGGGGCTCTGCTTGAAGGCTGGGGTGGAGGAAAGGCCGGTGAGCTGGGCATGGCCCCAGGCAGGTGCCCTCCCCTCCCATGGTGTGGCCCAGTGACTGCGCAGGACCCGGGAGTATCCACGCCGGACAGAGTGGACTTCAGGTGCCATGCGGCCCTGGGCCCAGGTGCCAGAGACAGCCGACTGAGTTCATTGCTGGGTGCCAGCTGTCACCCTACCCCACCGTGCTTCCTCATCGCCTGCCCGGGACATGGATGGAGCCCGCTCACCACGCTTGCTGGCAGCCCCGTTCTTTGTAGCATTCTCGCTCAGCGCCTGCTGCTCACGGTAGTGGTCCTCGTCCGCCTTACGGTCACGCCCAGGACAGGCACAAATGCGGCCCTCGAAGGACCGGCGGCCTAGCACCTGCCCGCTGTTGAGAGGAAACAGGGGAGCTGTAAGCGTCCAGGGCCCAAGCCCGGCCTGCCGCAGCCACCCCCCCCCAACTCCACCCCCAGCAGCAGCGCTCTCCCAGGACTCCCCTCTTCAGGGGGCCTCCAAGGCTCAGCGGCGCCCTACCTGGCTCTCACAGGGCTGGCTCCGCCCCCCCCTCACTGCCCCGCCCCCGCCTCACTCCCCCACTACCACCACCGCAGACTCACTCCCGGGTCTCCAGGGTGATGATGATGAGGATCGGCCTCCGGTTCATGCCGCCCACGCAGCTGCTGTTACACATGAAGTTGTACAGGATGGTGGTGAATTCCGTCCCCACCTGTGCGTGGAAGGCCCCCAGGGTGCGACATGAGCACGCGGGTGCCCACCGGCCTGGAGGCCTCCAGCCTGACCCTGGCTCCAGGTGGGAGTGGGCGAGGGAGCTTCTGTGCCAGTCTCACCCACGCAGCTCCCATTCACCCACCCACCCACTGTCCTGTCCACCCCCACTCACCTGCCCTCTTCACCTGCTCAGGCATCCACCGCCTGTCCATGTCCTCGCCCATCAGCCCGCCACCATGTGTCCATCCTTTCACCCATCTGTCCATCTGCATGCCAGCCATTCACTTAGCCATTTGCCCGCCCATCCATCCACTCATCCCGCGCACTGGGCACTAGGCACTGAGCTGGCCCTGGGTTCTAAGCAACATCAGCCCTTTGGGAAGCACAGTCTATGGCTAGTTTGCCTCCCCTGACAAGGCCAATGACAGGCCCCAAGGCCCTGAGAGTGTGTGTGCACAGGCCTTGGGGGCCGTGTGTGTGCTGCATGCCTGGGTGTGCAGGTCTTTGTGGAAGGTGTGTGCTTTGCATGAACAGATGTGCACACAGATCTTGTGTGCTGTGAGCTCCTCTGGGCCAAAGGGTATGAGGTGCTGCTCAGAGAAGGACCAAAGCCATCCCTGGAAAACCCCTGCCCCCACCCAGCCTCTCAGGGAGTTTTGGGAAGAACTGAGATATGAACCCAGCCAGGACTCCTGTCCCCGGGGGTGCTACGGACTGAACATGGGGCAGTTTTCCTGGTGTCCCTGGTCAGAATACACATGTCAAGAGTATTTTACAAAACAACTTCCAGGGGTGTGAGAGCTGCTTTCTGGCAGGCCTAGTGGGACACCACAGAGGGAGGGCCAGGGCCCAGTCCCGGTGGTGGAAAGGGTCAGGGGGCCCTGGGATGGGGCTGTGGGGGCTGGTCTCACAACAGGCCTTGTGGTCACCTGCCCTCCCTGAGAAGCTACAGTTCCAATGCACTGTCCCACCATCAACCACGGGCTGCCCTGGACCCCAGCCTTTCACTCTAACGACCTCATCCCACCCCAGAACCTCCTGCTGGCTTCAGTTTAAAGGTCAGACCCCTTAGGCACTCCTGGTTGGCTGCTTCCTGCACGCCCCACCGTCTACCTGCACCCTTTCCAGGCCCTGCCTGCATGCCTGCGTGGACATCAATGACCCTGGCGAGGTCTCCCCTCACGCAGCCCCCTCTGCTCTGGAGTCCAGGCCTCAGCCCCTCCAGCCGCCTTCCCTTGGTCTGCCAGCCCACCCTAGTGGCCCCTTCCTCAACCCCGGCCACAGCAGAGACTTGGCTACCCCAAGAGTGCCCTGGCCTCCTGCCTCTGTCAACCCAGGGCGCAAGAGCCTCGGGGTCCTACTGCTTGTCACAGATCCAAAGCCTGGCAGAGCCTGGAGATTGTTGACCCACCGCATGGCACAGCGGGGCACACGGAGGCCCAGGGTATGGGTGCACATGGTGAGGGGTCACGACCACCTCGTGCCAGATACCAAGGAGGAAGAGCCGGCATACGTGCAGGTCCGGAGCAGGGACCCTTGTGCTACCCGACGTGCCCCGTGCCTCTGTCCGGCCCTGGCTTACCTGCGGGGGCTCGTAGGGCACCAGGACGCTCTGCCTGCCGGTGACAGGGTCATCCACATACTGTGAGAGGTTGTTGCCTTCCACGCGGATAAGGTGGCTGGCTGGGGCAGACTGTCCTGTCGGGAGGGGACGCTGCTTCAGAGAGGGGCCCCGCCCTGGGCTGGCCACCGTTAGGGGAGCTCGGGCAGCACAGCTAGTGCCACAAAGCCTGACCCTGCAGTGTCCAGGTAGAGCTCAGCGCTTGAGCCTGACCCCCGTCGCTCTGCTCGCCAGGCACGCTGGAAGGGACCCACGGCGCCCCAGACTCCTCCCCAGCGCCTGCCCCGCCCCGCCCCCCGCCTCCGGCCCCGCCCCCATCCCTCGGGCGCCCGGGCTGCTGGCCGTGGTGCTGCAGCAGCCGCCCGGGGCCTCACCTTCGTTGAAGTCCCTCCCGAGCTCGTGATTGGGGCAGCGCTTCACGACGTCGGTCACGTGTTCCGCTTTCTTGTAGACGGGCATGGCCCGGATGGCGGTGCCCGGGGGCGGCGGCGCGGACACCTTGATCTGGATGGGGCACGTCTTGGCGATTTGGCAGTAAAGCTTCTTCAGCATCGGGGAGTACTGCAGGGGGCGCAGGGTGAGGCCGGCAGCTCCACTGCCGCCCGCGCCGGCCTGCGCCCCCGCCCCAACCTCTTCCGGGCTCTGATGACGTCGCCGCACGCACCGCTGGCCCCCTTCCAGGTGAGGGGACCTTCTCCCTCTACCCGGGACTTGCTGCTGGACGCAGGGCCTGAGCTGGGGGTCTGCAGATTTATTTTTTTACTTTTATTTTTTGATGAATTTGGTACAGGGTCTCACTACGCAGCTCAGACTCGTAGTGATCCTCCTGCTTTCAGCCTCCCCAGCGCTGGGATTACAGGCGTGCACCAACACACCCGGACTCAGTCACCAGCTCAGCAAACTCTGAGGGATGCTGGAACTACAAAGATCCCTTCCTCAGCCCAGGACCTGAGGAGACAAGAGGGCCGGAGTCCAGGCCGCCGTGGAGCCTGACCCAGGGGCCTCGGACGCCGCTACCTGTGGAGCTCCCTGTGGGGCTCTCCGCCTGGATGCCCTGCGAGGCCCGGGGACCACCACTCATTTCCACACGAGCGCTGGTCCGAAGTCAGTTTCCACCCCACCCCATTCTTTGTGCCCACCCGAGCCCTAGCAACTCCGATTCACAAGCCACACCAGTCTCAACTCCCCTGGAAGAGGCTCCATCGCCCCGGTACAGCTGGCAGAGGCCAGAGACAAGGGGCTGCTGGCAGAGCCCGGGAAGGGACAGGGGTGCTACTTGACCTTTGCCAAGGAAGATGGAACCACCCAGCTCCGAGAGACCAAGGCCCCCGCTGTGGACCTGCAGCAAGCACAAGCACTGGGACCAGATGGCCACACTGCTGCGGGGCAGCCCTGCAGGGGTGGGGCTGGGCACTGTTGGGAGAGCAGAGCGCCCTGGCAAGGTGCTGCCCCCACTCCTGCTGGCCTGGCCCTGGCCCTGTGTGTGCTCAGCTTGCTTTCTGGGGATGACCACTGCTCCTCCACCCCAACCAGCCCCTCCAAGAGACAGTGGTCGCCATGCCCCAGGGATGTCACACGGTCCCCAGTGGGGTCCTGTGGTCCTAGGGTCCACAAGGCACAGGACCTTACTGCACGTCCAGGAGCCAGTGTTGGGGGCTTCGCCTCCAGCTGCATGTGTTGTGGTCTCTATCCATGCAGGTTGGGAGCAGAGGGAGGGGACCACATGGTGGCAGGCAAGAGGGACACAGAGCTGGCGGTGGAAGAGAGACTACCGGACATCTCTGAGGCCCCAGGCGCTCCCTGGTGAGCTAACCCTGCAGGTCACTAGTGAAACACCTGCTGTGTGCAGCACACAGGGTCTCCCAGACCAGGGCCCTGGAGGGAGAGAGGAGCAGCCTTGCCCCTGCCCCCTGGTGTGGTGCAGGTAGCAGGAAAGGTACTCAGATGTCAACTCCACAGAGGACCCAGCACCACACAGGTGCAGGGTGGTGTCCCAGCCCCGGGGTGCTTCCTAGAGGAGGACCCACCTCAGAATAGTGTGTCCTCCAGGGCTAATCACTGTGAGCATCTGTTGAACACCTACTGCTTGCCAGCTCTAGGCTCAGCTAAGGAAAGTGGGCTGAAGGGTGGCGCTGTCAGGTGGGGCCCAGGTCACAGTCAATAGGGAGACCAGGGACCTTGCAGGTGGCTTTGGGCTCAGACACACCCCTTTGTGGTTCTGCCTGAAACTTCACGGCATGCAGAGCCCCAGAAGCCAGAGGATGTGAGTGGCAGCCTGTGTCTGCCACCTTACCAGGTGAGGGGGTGATGGCTTCCTGTGGTGGGCAGGGAATCCCAAGTCCCGCTGCAGGGCTGACCACCCAGGGGCTCCATCCTCCCCGGGCTCAGCCCCAGCCTGAGACTGGGCCAAGACGGGATGGGAACAGGGCGGGGCCGGGTATGACAGGGCCCTGCGACCACATTCCTGGGCGGCCCTGACACGCCTGGAGCAGAGGCCAGGCTCCCCAACCCTGCTCCCCAGGAAGAAGCAGGAATGGCGTTTGGGGCGTTGCTGCAGGCATCCCCCGCAGCTCGGAGGGCGAGTCCCAATAGCCTGTCCGCAGCTCCGGACCTGCCGGCTCTACCTCTGTCGGGCGGTTGTGCGACACCCCAGCCCGCCCGGTCCTGGGGAACTGTGAGCTGTGAGAGGGGCCCTGGCTAATACACGCGGCGGTGCAGCCTGTGGGGCGCGGGAGAGCCCGGGAAAGCGAAGGCCAGGGCGGAGGCGCTGGACAGGGGTGCGGTAGACGCTCCGCCCCGGGGAGGAGCTGGCGCCGGGAGCTGTCCCAGGTACCACGCAGAGTGGCCAGGCCTTCGCCTCTGGAGCCCGCTAGTACAGGGACAAACAGCAGCCTCTGGTCCGAAGGTCTGGGGTGGGGACCGAAGGGCCGCTGCCCTGGGCAAGCTGAGTGCCATCTCTCACCCCCAAGCCTGCGTAAGGCCCCCTCCCTCAGAGGTGCCCAAGGCACGGCTCATGCCCACAGCAGTGGGCTGGACACACGGCCAAATCCTGGCGAGACTGGTAGCCTGTGGCTTCCAGTTGCCTGGAGCATCCGGGTGGGGGCGTGGGGACATGGGGGCCACAGAACTAGAGTGTTGCAATCCTGCCCGATGCCCCAGAGCCTTCCTCCGGCATGGCTCGTGGCATCCGGTGGAGTCAGGACCCTGTCGTTGGCCCTGCAGGTGAGTGCGCTTCCCGCAGAAGGTCCAAGGAGACGCTCCCTCCGCCTGCGCCCCCTCCTACCTCCTTCTCCCCTGGAACCGCTAGGTGGATGTGTTTCAACAGATTCCGAGCCGATAAAATCTTATTTATCTTCGGCTGTTGACACAGAGCCGTCTAGACTTGCCTGTTCGGATGCGTGTATTCGGAAACGCTTCACCCAAGCACTGTCCCTGCCACCACGGCTCTACCTGACCCCTCCCCACCCCAGCCCACGATGGGCCTGCCCTGGCTGGGAGCCCTGGGCCTGGTGGGGCTGGCTGGGGCAGCGGGTGAGAGGGCGGGTGGGGGCGGGTGGGGGCGGGCGCGTTGCGGGGCTGTTAATTTCCTGGCACCCACTCTCAGCAGCTGGGCGCCCGGCACGGGCAGGTTTGGGCAGGAGCACAGTGCAGAGGTGATAATAACTTGTCTGTCATTTTCCCGGGACATGTAGCATCTTGCAAACCACAAATACCGTTAACCAGCTTGGGTGAATCTGTTACAACAGATTCTGGGAGCCCGCGTCCGCAGTGGGGGCTTTTAGTTTTTGAAGTGGTCTTTACAGCCCGTCTTCATCCGTCGCCCCCAGCCGTGTGTGCACACACGCATCTAGGGACCCCTCTCTCCTCTCTTGGGCCATGGACCCTTATGCCATGGGCCCTCAGAACAGCTTCCAGCTGACCCGCAGGACCCAGCACAAGACTCCATGGGCACAGGCCAGCCCCAGCACTCCGAGGAACCTGGTCCACAGTCCTTGGGTCATGGTGACACTGGCCCAGGCCAGCTCTGCCTTTGTGGGTGCCATCTCAGCCCCACACCCTCTTGGTCCTGCATTTGGCAGGGAGCTGCTGGAAGTGGGAGGTCAGCAGAAGGGGGTACATGTGATGGTCACCCCAACCTGTCTCAGGGTACCTTCTCACCAGGCTGTGAGCACCGGCTGAGCTCTAGCAACCCGGGAGGCAGGGCTCCAGCGAGTGCAGAGGTCAGAGCCAGTGTGCCCAGAAAGACTCCTCAAGCACTGCTAGCTAGAGACAGGAATGTGCCCCTCAGGTGAGGTGTGCCAAGGGCCAGCTGGAGCAGCCTTCAGGGAGGCCACTGCCCACCGAGACCTGGGGCCCTGCAGGTCCCACGGGAGCCTGCCCACACAGGGGACCCTGGCAGGCTTTCACAGGAGGCTTGGGAACCTAAGGGCCCTGCCACAGGCTGCAGGGCTGGGGCTCAGTCTGCAGGAAGGGCTTGGGACACCTGAGTAGGGCCAGCGCCATTGCCAGAAGAGTGGTCAGTGGATGCTAGCTGGGGGACCCCACCTTCTCCACAGGGCTCCTGCATCTGCCCCAACCCCCACAGCCTCCAGCCCACACGAGAGCTAAGGATTCATCCTGAACTGCCAGCAGGGTTGGGCGGGATGGACGGTACCCGCACTGCGCTGCCCTGCCGCTGCCGGCTGCCTGCTGGGCCGGGCAATATTGTGAAATGTGTCCTTGGTCCTCCTCCTGGGTTCCTGGCATACAACTCCTAACATCCTAAGACTCTTCAAAGGGACAACATCTTTATTATGCTAATAAGCCCCTGAAGACTGTCAGCCCCCAGGTGGCTGGGGGTGGGGGCTGGTCAGGAGAAAGAGCAAGACCAGGGCTGGATGAGGGCTGGTCCTGCAACCTCACCCCCACCGACCACCCTAGGAGGAGCGGGGGATGCGGTCAGGCCCGTCACTAATGGCCAGGGGTTAGTCAATCAAGCCAACCCCTAGATGGCTCAGGTTCACCCCTTGTTGGAACAGCTGAGTGATGGGAGCCCTGGGGGTGGGGCCAGGCTAACAGGAACTCCTGCGCCCCTTGGGGTTCCCCGTCTGCCTCCATTGCATCAACCCAGTGAATCTGAGTGTTTCTTTGCACCCTGTGAGCTGCCAAGAACAGGGTGAGTTCCTCCCAGTGGGTATGGGGAAAACCACAGCGGCTGCCTAGAGGACAGAGATGGCGTGAGAGGACACTTCGGCTGGCTTCCTTCTGGGTGAGGGAGGGACTTGCACACCTCTGGGATCACTAAGGTCTTAGCACCTGCTCTGGGCTCTCTCCTGCCACCAAACCTCAGCCCCATCACCAGGCAGACTGGCCTCAAATGCCACTGGCTCCTCAGGGCATGGCCGGGGCTGTCCTGCTGGGCCCCGAGGACTGAGGACCACAGCTGTCAAGGGTGGGGCTGACCACTGTTTTGTGACTGAGATGCTGAGTTGGCCTTGCTCGCCCTGCCCAGAGTTGGGGTCCTTGTGAGGGACCAGTGGGAACCCCTGCAAGAGGCAGGCCCTGTCTGCTCCTATCTGTGA